TTTGTGTACAGGGTTTATTTATTTATTTATTTTGGAGAGGTTTTTGCTATAGGGTGTGTGTGCTCGCCAAAAAGACAGAGAGACAGAAAGCGAGAAATCACCCCGCCAGGGGGGATGGCCACGATGTAATCCCTTCTCCTCCATTCTCCTCTTGGGATCTTGGGCACGCACGCACACGCGCCCGGTGTGAGTTTAAGCCACTGGGTCTAGGACTCGAACTGCTGTTGACTACATGGGAGTCCAGTGACATAGCCATTACGCTAACTGCTGATCCCACAGAGTCAGTTTTTTAATCAGATTTGCCAAGGACTCTCACTGCTTTCTAGCCTCTTCTCTTGCTAATGTGGCCATTTATGAACCTACTTGACCTCCAATGGCTGGTTCCTGATATCAGCCCGCCCTTTTGATTTTGTCCCCATCTTTGTCTGCCCTTCTTCCAGTTCTAGAATGCCTCTCCCTCTCTCTCTAGCCCTCCCCCATCCCCATTATCAAAGTCCAGCTCAAGCCTTTGCTCTTTCTTTACATGTTACCCTTGATCCCCAAGGCCTGGTGGGGTTGCTCTGTGTTCTGATTCCTGCCCAATCCTGGTGGGTATTTCTGTTACCATTGGGCATTATGTAGCTTCTCTTCAGTGCTCACTTATAAGCCTATGAAGACAGGAACACCTTCTTGCTCATTTTTAAATTCAATTCAACATTGGCTACACAGTAAGAGTCCATTCAGTGTTTGTTGAGAAATGACCGAGTTCTTTTTGTTTCACTTAGAGCTTCTCCACACTGGAAGATGCTGATGTTACCAAATAGCAAAAAGATCTTGTGTTAGAAGCAAGGTACTTTGTGCCCTGTCCTATTCTTGATTTGTCTTTGTGTTTCTTAAACATAAATGGAAACTGAAACGCATTACCACTGTTGTTTATCTACTTGAGAATTTTTTAGGAGCTGAAATGAATCAGTTTTTCTTTGGTCATGAAATGGAGTTTTCAGCCTAAAGGACAGGGGACAAATTAAATTTAGTAATAGTGATTTGCTTTTATGTAAGGGATTAGGTTCAGGATAACTTCTTCAATTTTTATTCATTGTAGAACTGCATTTCCCTGCTTTGAGGGTTCAGTTTTTGCCCTTTTCAGTTTTGTTATATGTCCTGTGTAATATTGATCAATGGAAATCCTAAGAAATTACACTTTGGATGGTAGATTAAAGAGTGCCACCTTCTGTTCATTATGTGAAGTGCACATTCACTTTCTAAATGTTACTTTCTAAATGTTCCTTTCCCTTTAAAAAAGACTGCCAATGAGTTCTCCCAGATCATAATCAGCTCTTTAAAAATGTGAACTCAGTCTTAATTATAGATTAAATGAGCAATATTAATATTTTGTTTCTCATTGGTTTTATTCTGCTTTTTAAAGAAGAGTACCTTTGTGGTAGGTGAACAAGTACGTTTAACTTGATTTATTCTGAATACAGCAGAAAAACAAAAGGTTCATGTAACATAAGAAAGCTTGTAAGTATCCTATTAATTTGTTCTGTTTTATGAAGCTCGTAAAGGCTAAGCCAACAACTTTGAAACACAATTACACAAACCTGTCATATTTTATAATAGTTTTGGAAGAACAATGATTATAGTTAATTTTAGAAAAATATTTTTCCTTAAAATATTTAAACTTTTTAAAGCATAAATATAAATTTTGTTTTAATAAATGTCACTTAGGGGCCAGCTAGTGGGGTGGTGGCTAAGGCGGCTGGATTGCACATGACTGACTGTGTGGTCGAGTCCTTCGCCCAGTGGGTTGTAAAACATGCTGGGCGTGTGTGTGCGTGCCCAAACTCCTGAGAGGAGAATGGAGGAGAAGAGATTATGGCTTGGCCGTCCCCTCCTAGGGGGCTGCTTTCTCACTTTTCCTTTCTCGGCTTCTCTTCAGTGAGTGCACATACCTTATAGCAGATTTAGAAAAAAAAAAAAAAGAAAGAAAAAAATACTAAACTTTATTTTTAAAGACTTCTATCGAGTAAGACCAAACCCTTTATTCTCTTACCATGCCTGGGAGAAAGGTGGTAGTCTTCATGGACTGGGAACAGTGTCCTGAGGGGTGTCATCCCTAGCTGACGTCTCCCGAGCTAAATCGTGGCAGACGACTGCTATCAAAATGTGAGGTACCTGCCAACCTGAACCCCTGTGGCTTCGGCTTGCTTTTGGCTGTTTTACTTTTCATTTCTAATGTATTTTATTTCTGTTATTTAAATTACAAACTTAATACATATTCTTTTTAATGATTTAAATGCAGGAGTGGGGCCAGCAGGTGGTGTGGTGGTTAAGGGCACTGGACTCCCACGTGGCTGACCCTGGTTCGAGTTCTAGACCTGGTGGCTTGCTTTCTCACTTTCCTTTTCTCTCTCTCTCGCTCTGTTCCTCTCTGGCCAAAGGAAGATAAGTAAATAAATGAAGTTAAATAAAATAACTTGTAAAAAAGGCAAGAGTATTTAAGAGTGTTAGTGTCCCTGCCACTTGCCATCCTTTGTCTCTCGGTCGTACCTCCTGCCAACTCGGTACATTCCCCCCTGCATTTTCATTCTGCTTGATACACACACGTAAGTATGAGTCTGTAAGTTGGGTGGTTTGATTGAAAAGTGGGTGATTTGAAGTGTGTTATTCTGTAGTTTACTCTTCCGGATGTCATAGGCCCCCCAGGTCCACAGTTACGTATGCTGTTTCCCACTTCCTGGTGCCCGGAAGAGGCTGTGTCTCAGCTTACAGAGCTTGATATTGTTGGCTGCGTCTGCCTATGTTCCAGGGCATGAATAAGTCATAGTTTATCCAGCCACTTCTGTGTTGAGATAGTCATAGATTTTTTAGCTGTTCACTATGATAAAAACATCACAGCAAACATTCCTGGACATCTGTCTCTGTGCCGGTCACTGTCATTTTGTCAGACTCTCAGAAGGCGGTGATCTGGTTCAAGGGATATGTGTGTTTTTAACCTAGCTGTTTTAATTTAGTTTAGCTTTATGAAATGATTGCTTTACATTGTGCTCTTAAAAGCAGGTATCTTTTTCTGGGGGTGAATTCCGGGCATAGGTTTTCTGCCGAATGTGGCCCCTCTAGCCTCTGAGGGGCGGAGGAAGAGAATAGTCGATGAACAGTTTTCTCTTGGGCCACTGGGCAAGTCATGATGCGCGTCTGCATGGAAACACGGGAAACGTGACTCTCCCGATGACTTGATAGAACGGAGTGGCCTTAGCCAACCAAGCAGCAAGCACGGAGTCTTAGCGGCAACACACCCACTCCCAAATCTGGGTATTTCCCAGCTACGGTAAGGCTCGGCCCTCTCCCCATTTTAGCCACAAAGGGCTGTGGCCGAGTCTGGATTTACTACATTTCTTCAAAGTCGATTGTCATTTCACCCCGTTTGTGCTAAGACATCCCAACTCTTCATATAAAATATATGATAATGGCACTTAATGATCATAAATAAAAAGCCTTCTAATAGGTCTCTGGATTTAGATAAGGTACATGAAGGAAATGTCTCTGGAGAGTACCACTGCATTCCTCTTTTTTTTTTTTTTTTTTGGGGAGAATTCCTGGACATCTGTCTCTGTGCCGGTCACTGTCATTTTGTCAGACTCTCAGAAGGCGGTGATCTGGTTCAAGGGATATGTGTGTTTTTAACCTAGCTGTTTTAATTTAGTTTAGCTTTATGAAATGATTGCTTTACATTGTGCTCTTAAAAGCAGGTATCTTTTTCTGGGGGTGAATTCCGGGCATAGGTTTTCTGCCGAATGTGGCCCCTCTAGCCTCTGAGGGGCGGAGGAAGAGAATAGTCGATGAACAGTTTTCTCTTGGGCCACTGGGCAAGTCATGATGCGCGTCTGCATGGAAACACGGGAAACGTGACTCTCCCGATGACTTGATAGAACGGAGTGGCCTTAGCCAACCAAGCAGCAAGCACGGAGTCTTAGCGGCAACACACCCACTCCCAAATCTGGGTATTTCCCAGCTACGGTAAGGCTCGGCCCTCTCCCCATTTTAGCCACAAAGGGCTGTGGCCGAGTCTGGATTTACTACATTTCTTCAAAGTCGATTGTCATTTCACCCCGTTTGTGCTAAGACATCCCAACTCTTCATATAAAATATATGATAATGGCACTTAATGATCATAAATAAAAAGCCTTCTAATAGGTCTCTGGATTTAGATAAGGTACATGAAGGAAATGTCTCTGGAGAGTACCACTGCATTCTTCTTTTTTTTTTTTTTTTTTGGAGAGATTTTCTCTATAGTGTGCGTGCACTCGCCAGACAGAGAGAGACAGAAAGCGAGAAATCACCCCCCAGGGGGATGGCTATGCCGAAATCCCTAATCCTCTTGGGATCTTGGGCACACGCACACACGCACCCGGCGTGAGTTTAAGCCACCGAGTCCGGGACTTGAAGCACGGTTGACTACATGGGAGTCCAGTGACATAGCCATCACACTAACTGCTGGTCCCCCTCTTCATTTTTCTCAGCGACGACTCCTCAAGGTTTAAATGGGCACCCAGGGGGCCATTGCAGGCAGATACGATGATGCAGTCCTCCCTTTCTGAAATCCGTTTATTGGCAGCGCAGTACTGGAAGAGGCCCTGTTTCAGCTTACAGAGATTTATATTGTTGGCTGCATCTGCCCGTGTTCTTTAATCCTATAGGTTGTAAAGGGTGATTTTAAATCGGGCAGCTGGGCTCAGCCCCAGAGCCCCACATCCCACTGGGCATCTCCAGGAAGGTTTGTCTACAGAATGCTTCTCAGCCAAGAAAATGGTACCCACTCACACCAGCAAATCCATACTGCTGAATGTAAGCGCTGCATGAGTGCCTGAAACTGTGTAGCCCAGGACCGTGGCCCAGTGATTCACGGCGTGTTATGCATCTACATACGGTTTTGGATGTTGTTATGGCTCTCCAAGAAATGTTGGGGTTGTTCCGTGTCCCGAATGTAATTCATGACTGTTCTGTTTTGCTGCCCACTGCAGCTTAATGCAATGGCAAATCGTGCTGCAGGGAAAGGCTATGAAAATGAAGACAATTATTCCAATATCAAGTTTCAGTTTATCGGGATAGAGAACATCCATGTCATGAGGAACAGTCTGCAGAAAATGCTGGAAGGTAAACCATTTCCTTATGTGCCGCAGTAAAAAAATGCAGTTAAAATTGTTGATGTAAAAATGGCATAAGATAACCTTTCGATTTTAAAACTGTTTGGGTTTTTTCAGTGATGCTGTTTACATAGGTGTTATCATTCAGGAGGAATATCACATTGCAATATCTCTTCCAATATTTAACCATCTTTCTCTTCTTTTTTTTAAAATATTACTGTGAAACGGTTTCTTCACTTGGTGACTAGCAGTCAGGGACTGTCCAGTGGTATTTAACATCTAAGATGAAAGTGCACAAGAATTTTTGTTTGTTTGTTTGTTTGTTTGTTTGTTTGTTTCTCATGTTAGTTTGACCTGCATTCCAAGCCATGGGGAGATAAAGCACTCCTACAGTTAAAGCAATAGCCAGCTGTTCTCGAATGGGTGTCAGGCTCCTAAGTTACATCGCCAAGCTGCCGAATGGCCATTAGAAGGGAGGTAGCAGAGGTGCTGATCCTCACTTCTAAACGGCAGCCATTGCTGTAATGCATGTCACTTCCCACCAGCACGTCCACACACAACGAGCACTGTGAGGCACGTACACACAGATTACGTACTCATGTGGAGAGGAAATTAAAAAGATGGATTACGCTGCATAGGAGAGTTCGTCATAGGGCAGAGTAGCTCTAAGCCGATTATAGAAATTCTGCATCTTAAGCAAACCTAACTTCATTTCCTGCATATGCTTCTGGTGACTGTAAAGGCCTAGGAAGTAGTTTGTTGCCCTAGTCTCTCACTGCTGGCTCCAGCCGGAGCTGAGAAGAGAAGAGGAAGATGCAGAACAAGGCTTTGTGCTTTGGCTGTAATGCTGTGTGTGCAGTCCTGGGGAAAACCATAAAGAGATGGAGCTGAGTGTGAGGGGAGTGGGCTGTCGTACAGGAGACGGGGGTCTGGATTGAACAGGACCAGAGAAGATGCTGGATGATCCTTGGAAGACACATTTGTTCTTCGTTGCTTTTACTGTTGTGCATTTAATCACAGCAGAATGTGAGAGACCCTAACAGAGAGGCTGGGGAAACTTGGGTGTCACAGCCAAACTTCCACGCATTTTCCTGGACTTCCTGTTTCATCTCAGTCGTTATAAAACTTTAGACCCGTCAGTTAACTTCTTCGGGGCTCTGCTGCGTGCTGTAAAAGGGGAGGGTTGGACTGATCATTTCTGTGGGCCCATCTGTTCATAACTGTGACAGTTTGATGCTCCTCATTGCAAACTCTTTTTTAAAAGTAGCCTTTGAATGGTTTTAAGAAATGCCTTTCTGCATCTGGGAGTTGGGGGGGGGATCATGGCCCCAGAGCTGTCTCCCTTTTACTTATGCACATAATTCGCTGTCTCAGGTTACAATGGCAGTACCTTGGGGTGCCTGTTTGGACTTAAACTTCTGGAGATTGTCACAGCAGTTTGGTTATCCCTGTTTTAAACTGGGCTTTTTTTTTGGAGAGGTTTTTGCTATAGGACTTGTGCGCTCACCAGCCAGACAGAGAGAGACAGAGAGATAGAAAGCAAGAAATCACCCCCCAGGGGGGATGGCAACACCACAATCCCTTCTCCTCCATTCTCCTCTCGGGATCTTGGGCATGCACACACACGTGCTTTGTGTGAGTTTTAAGCCACCGGGTCCGGGACGTGTACTGGGGTTGACTACGTGGGAGTCCAGCGACATAGCCATTACGCGAACTGCTGGTCCCGAGCTGGGCTTTTTATGTGTGGAAAAATTGGACTAGTTGGCACTAGCTGTTGCTATCGAGAGGGAGGCTGACTTTAAAAGTATGATGAGAACCACTGAAAAAAGTTCAGGTCGACCATGCTTTATATTTTTCACTTGGTAATTTCATAAGGCGACTTTTGTGAGCATCAGAGTGCTTGCTTCTTAGGAGGAATGTACAGAAAGTTGCGTGTCTCTAACATAAACATTTGGCTCCCGTCTGTACGTTGGCATTGACTTGGTTTCTCGTTAGACACTCGTCTTCTTCGGCCCCTATGCCATGGCCCAACAAACTACTTTTTCTGAAGGACCAGTGAATGCGTGCCCGAGAGCAGCTCTGTCTGATAAGGAAGGGGCCGTGTACCCTCTAACTTCCCAGCCACGTTCAGCGCAGTGAGCAAGGACACCTTTCTGGATGCCTTTCAGGGGACTTGACCAATGTTTGCCTCTCTGTTTTCCCGAGTAAATTATAAACCATTGCGGAGGCTCTGCTGCTGATGAAGTGATGCAATAAGACCCCCCTTCTGAGCCTTTTTCTCCTTCAAACGCTGTCCTTGCCCTCAGAGAGATTTGCAAGGCTGTCCTTGCCCTCAGAGAGATTTGCAAGTTTGTACTGTGGCCACTCAGTAGACAGAGGAATTGTGCATTGCATTCCACAGCTGTTATTTTCTTACTTTTTTTTTTTTAAACCACTGTGATGGACATTATCAGAAGAGGTTCTGAATAATAGAAAAGTGAAATTGTATGTGTTCTGGCTCCAAAGAGCTCTGCATTTCATCAGAGATTGAAATCTAGGACCACGTTCACACCCTGGGTCGTTGTTTTTATAGAGCTGATTTCATTCAACTTTGACTTGTAAGTTCTAAATCAAACTATTTTTGTGGTATTTGTACTTTCCCAGGAGATTAAAGCGATGCCCGTTAGCGACGTAGAGCTCCATGGGCCCATACGTGCGTTTCCCCGTAGCTTCCCTTTGGATCCTGTAGATGCACGTTGAGGATTCGTTCTCCAAATTGCTTGGGACCAGAGGTGTTTCCAGTTTTGGACTTGTTAGGATTTTGGAATATTTGCACATAAATAATGAGAAGGCTTGTGGCTAGGACCCAAGTCTAAGCATGACAATCATGTATGATTCATATACATCTTCTACGTATAGCCTGAAGGATATTTTATACTGTATTTGTGCATTGGAGCATTTTTACTGTAACCTGTCACATGAAGTCAAATGTGGAATTTTTATTTTTTTTGAGAGGTTTTTGCTATAGGGCACGTGCGTTCGCCAGACAGACAGAGAGACAGAGAGACAGAAAGCGAGAAATCACCCCTCAGGGGGGATGGCCATGCTGCAATCCCTTCTCCTCCATTCTCCTCTCGGGATCTTGGGCATGCACGCACACACGCCCGGCATAAGTTTAAGCCACCGGGTCCAGGACTCAAACCACGGTCGACTACATGGGAGTCCAGCAACATAGCCATTATGATAACTTCTGGTCCCAAATGTGGAATTTGTTTACTTGTGCTAAATAGTTTCAGATTTTGTAACATTTTGTTTTGGGGGTTTTTCGATGAAGAATGCTCACCCCATCATAGAAAGATGTCCTGTATTTTCTTTTCCAATTGAAGCAGTCAGTAGAAGAGTCTGTAGTAGGCTCTCTCGAGGCCTGAGGACCTCGTCGTCATCAGTGGTGGAGGGTTTGACCTCTTAGGCATCCTGGTTTTGGAGAGGAAATCAGTGTGAAGGGAAA